AAAAGGTCTCCAAACTTAGCATCATCCTGAACTTAACAACAGGTTGGCTATGTGAGGACAATGAGAAAATTATTCATTCATTTTTTTTTTTTTTTTTTATGTTTTATTGTGAATTATGTGATAGTTTACATGGGAGAACATTAGCTTTACATTCATCTGGTATTATATTTCATTGCCATGGTTACAATCCCCTCCATGCATCATCAACCAACCAAAGGGTACACACCCTGTAAGCCTGCCCCCCGGTCGTCAGCACACAGCCCCCTCTCCTTCTCTGGGTCTAGAGTCCCCAGCTGCTCCATCTCTCCACATCATCATCTCTGCCTCCATCTCTGGCATCACTGCTTCTCTGGGTAGGGTCCCACATTCCTCTCCTTTCCCTTGATGGCCCTGGGGACCTCTGCTCCGGGACTGCAAAGTCAACCCTTCCCCTCGTGTTGCTACAAAATGTCCACCTTTACATTTCCAACCCTGATAGTCAGTTCTGATAACAATTATTTACTATTGTGCTACATGAGTGCCATCCCCATCTCCTGAAAATATGCATTCTTGATCCATGGAGGCTACCCCAGCTTTCAGGGAAAGAAGGACCAAGAAGTGGCTTTTCCTGGTTGGAGGCCTGTGGTCTGAGAGTGACTGGTGGAGGAGGGTGTGTTGTTGCATGGAGGTGGGATGGTGCTTCCTTGGAAGCCAGGTAGATGCCCTATGAGTCAAGACAAACGGGGCCAACAGGGAGTGCCAGGCCGCAGTCTCAGCTAACCCCGCATCCGACGAGCACTGGTGACATCCCCCTTACAGATCCCAGCCTGGGTGGAATGGGGCAGAAGGAATGGGCTCACCTCTCTGTGAGTTCCCCTTATCCCCTGGTCCAAGCTCATGAAGCCTGGCCCCTGAAAGTGATGTGTGATACAGACCAGGCCCCCCTCCACTCTTCCTGCTCTGCTCTTCCTGTGCCCTCAGCTCTCCCAGTAAAGCTATCAGCCCTTAGAAGGGGATCCCCTCAGGAGGGGTTGGCTAAGGCCACTGGGAAGCCCAGGCCCTGCCCTTTTTGGATATCTCCTCCTCAGGCTGTGTCCACTTTAATCTGAGGTAGAGAAGCCAGCAAATGCCTGCCCTTAAGGGGACAGGGCTGGATTTACTAAGGTTGAGAGCCACAAGTCATCCCCTAAGTACTCTGCCTTGTAACCTAAGATGAGCTCGCCTGCAAACACCTGTTTTCACTCCTTTGCTGATAGCAGGATCAAAAGCTGGCGGGCTAATGACTCTAGGAACTGACTCGGGGTGGCATACACTTGCATTTGTAATGTCTTAGAAATATCTCCCCGCGGGCCAGGCTGCACGTGCCTATTAGTATGATTGAAGAAGGCCTTGCTTGAAGGGTTGGTCCAAGTTTCCATCCCAGGAGCTAGCGGGAGAGTCCAGGGTCAAGGACAGGAGATTGTCCAGTGAAGTCCAGCTGCTGACTCCCTTGGAGATGGACTGGGGTTGACAGTTCTTACAGACCCGGATCTGTGGTTTCTACATGGGGGTGGTGGTTGGAGTAATAACACTGCTTATCACACAGGGTAGTTAAGAAGGCCTGCTCAGCAGGTCTACACCACAGTCCAGAAGATGGGAGCTAGATTTACTTAGACACTTTGAGAAGCAACGCAAGTGCCAACCCTGTGAAACTGACCAATAATGTTCTAATCATTTAGAACTGCAAGTCTCTGCCTCGGGTGGCACAGAAGATGTGGCCAATTTGTTGGAGAATCAGTTCTCTGCTGGAGATGCCAGTCTAGAGGAGAAGGAGAGGGCACTTTATGCAGATGTGGGCCCTCCAGAGAAGACCAGCCTCCTGCATTTCCCAGATGGCAGTGAGGCTGAGAGCCCTGAGAAGACCCCACCGGGGACCCCTTCCCAGACCACTGACCCCGAAGACGGCCTGTCCAATGCCACAGCCCCAGAATTCACACCTGGAGACGCTGCTGGACCTGGGCAGGAAGAAACGGGCCAGCCAGGAGCAAGTGTCCTTCCTCCAGACGGGGAAGAGGGGGCCTTGGAAGAGGGACAGCCAGAGCCCGGTTCAGGGGAGGGCCCAGAAGAGGCGCCTGGGAGCGGGCTCCCCACTCAGGGAGCTGACAACGGGGAGGCAGAAGGCCTGGCTGGGAGCGGTGTGATTCTAGAGGAGGCTGCACGGAGTGGAGAGGTTGAGGAAGCACACCCTGTGGAAACAGAAGGCGAGGAGAGCTCAGGGCTCGCTCAGGAACTGGAAATGTCTGGCGGAATACCGGAAGTCGAGTCGGTGCATGAAGAGTCAGAGGTTGATGGTGACTCAGAAGCCAGGTCAGGTCTTGACCAGGGAGAGCCCAGTCCCAGCCAGGAGGCCAGCGCAGAGTTTGGGGGAGTGAAGAGCACCGAGGAGGACAGTCCTCCTCACGGGGTACCTGTACAGGTCCCTGATGAGGCCTCTTCTGAAGAAGAGAGTGGCGATGACCATGAAGGCGAGGAACAAGAAGGAGGAACGCCATCCGAAGAATCTGAGGAGGACAGTGGCAATGGGGCGAGTTCAGAAGAAGCAGGAGCTGCTAGCTCGGAGGAAGCCACGGGATCCCAGGAAACAGCGGAAAGCGCAAGTTACAGAGAGGAGAGAGGCCAGCCCAGTGAGGAGGAACTGAGTATAGACCCCAAGGGCATTGGGGCACAGGACCCCAAAGAGGAGCAGCAGGGTAGGGGACTCCTATGCTTCCTTAGAAACCGCCCTGGTGGTCTTCCAGAAGTCTTGTGGGCAGAGGGACACTTGGGGACAGTTTGGGTGCTTAGCAGGAGGCCCTGTGCAGGGAGGTTCCTTTGGACTGCTCACTAGTCACTTCCTTTAGTTGGAGGGACCAAGAACAAGGGTGTGCCATGGAGGACTAGAGTGCCTGGCCACTCCTGAGTTGGGCCCTCAGGAATGGACCCTGCAGGATGCACTCTGACATGGTTTAAGCTGAAGCCCAGGAGAACAGTGATGGAACCGGAGGTGCTAAGGCCAGCTATGTGAGGGGGGGTGCAGGGATTGGTGAGGATGGGGTTGGAGGCCCCCCCCCCCCAGGTGCCCACATTGGTGGTTGGCACACCAATCCACCTTGAAGACTAGCCTGTTTCAGATGTAGAGAACTGGGACCTAAGGGTGAGCATTGTGAAGGAAAGACTGTCAGGGCCATAGCTAGTGGGCAGCCCCAGGGAGGGTCAGGCCGCATCCACTAAGTGTACTGACTTGGACCAAAAGCTGGCCTTTCATACTAGAGGCATTAAGGTCCAACTTCCGTTTTCCAAGATGGCCTCCCCCACAGGCTTCCTTGCAGGGATTACATTTATATGTTGAAAACGAGCTGTGGTGACACCGTGGTTTAACCTCTGGGTGGCTAGCCAAAAGGTCAGGGGTTCAATCTCACCAGCGACTCCCAGGAGAAAGCTGCAGCTAGTCTGCTTCCTTCAGGTGACTGCCCTGGCAGTTCTGGGGCAGTTCTCCCCTGCCCCACAGGTTGCTAGGAGTCGGAATTAGCTCTCCAGCAACACACCACCACTTGTTGGACATGCTACATACAGGGAGGGGCACCTGCAGCCTAAGCCCCTCTCCTCCCTGTTCTCCCTCTTGGCAGGGAGGGCTGCCTGGGCTTGGTCCAGGTACAGAACCAGACTCGGAGATGCTGCTTGACGTGCACTAATTTTCTGCTTCCCTCCCTGGTGGAAGCAGTCTTCCGCCACTGGGCAGACCTAAGCCCATCAGCCTGGCTGGGTAGAAACAGATGTGATGTTAGAGACCCAGGGGTGGGAGTGTCCCCCTCCTGGGAGCCTGCAGGTCTCATCAAAAGCATCTTTTGCTGGTCCGATGATGAAAAGGCCAATTGGGACAAAACTTCCTGCCGGCTTATCCCCCACCCCTCTCCCTGTGGGGCCCTGATACAACAGTTGTCTGCCTAGCTCCTCCTGGCCGCCCCCCACCCCCACCCCGTTATATCGCTGACCTCTGCTGAACCTTCCTGCTCCCACCACTTGCCTGCTCGCTGTGGCCCAGTGCCTGGATCTCCTTCCTGTGTCTTGCTAACTCCTCCTGACTAGAGGCTTTGCTGTTCCTGGAACCCACCCCCATCACCCAGTTAACTCCTATTCACACAGCAGACCTCAAGCTAATACTTGGCTTCCTCAGGGGAGCCTTCCCTGGCTGCTTATGTGCCCGCATTTAACTTTGTAAGAGTTGATTTTATTGTCATTGTTGAGCATATCCCCAGTGCCTCCATGTACGGTCATCCCGCCCCACTAACAGAAAGTCAAGGCGCTCTGAATTTCCTGCCTCGTGTTTCAGTTGCTACTGTCAGTTGGTTCCTCTGTGTAGTTCTTTAAAAAAGCATAATGCTCCAGGCAGAGTAGTTGTGGTTGGTTTTTTAAAAAACTAATTAAACTATTGTTTGGGTTAAAGATTTCTGGGGGCATGTGTGATTTAAGGTTTAAAGATTCTTTTAGGACAAAAGTTTCTGGGGTTCATCCAGCACCTGTGACTTCAGAAAATCTGTATCCCGTGAGGATTTGAAATTCTAGTCTACATTTCCCTTCTTTTGCTCAGGACTCTGACAGTTTCTGCTCAGAATGTTGAGTAACCTTACAGCTTTTTGAGTTTTTCCTTTCAGAGCCCATATCAGAGTTTGTAATTATGACTCACTTTAAAGATGATTTATCATCTCTCTTCCTATAAGGAAGCCTCCAGGTTGGTGTGTACCACGTGTTCACAGCCAGGTGCTTGGTGCCCGGCAAATAGTAGGTGCTCCATACATACCTGTCAAATAAGTAAAATGGTTACAGAGCTTAAGAGACTTTGTGTTTGGAGTTTCAAATGCTGCCTCCAGAACCCGGTTCTGTTCCACTGGGCCTCACTGAGTTCCTGTCCCAGGTTGGCCCCTGCCTGCCTCTGTAGGGCCTTAGAGTCCCTTGGTTCTCTTAAGTGGCTCCCACCTGATCCTCCTCTGTGCTTTTCTCCCCAGAAGAGACGGAGGATGTGAGTGAAGAAGCCGTATTGCGTGATCGCTCCCACATTGAGAAAACTCTGATGCTGAATGAGGACAAGCCAGCTGATGACTATTCAGGTACCAGTGGAGTACAGTGTGGCTGGGGTTGGCCTCTGGCTGGGGCTGGGGCTAGCTGAGGCTGAGGAGGCGGGAGCAGCATGGACTAAGCTGGAAGGCAGAGGGAACCAGAGCCAGGAGAGCAGGAAGGTTTTGAGTAGGGTCTGCAGTGGGACCCCTGGGCTGGCAGAAAGGAGGAAAGGTAGTCTGGGCACAGGGACCCACACATGGGGCGCCATGGGCTACTGCAGCCTGTCTGTCTCAGCAGGAGAGGACTGGCAATAAGAATGCCTCACATTTGTGGATGGTGTGGTTTTATTGGCTGTTTATAAAGCCTGTTCATCACGTTTTGTTTCTGCAGTTTATAAAGCCCTTGTGTCTGGTATTTAGTTCCCTCCTTGTGGTAACCCAAGATTATAGCAGGGCTGGTTGTCTCACTGACAGCCACATACAGACAGCTACCCTGACCTTACACACCTGCGGGGTGGCTGAGTGAGGGTAGAGCTCAGCTCTGATAGCCTTTCTCTCTGTCTTGCAGCCTCACCCCTGCAGGCATTGGGCACTTTAGGGTGTGAGTCTTCCCTCCCAGGTGCACCCGGAGTGCAGTGATGGTGAGGGTGCAGGGTGACGTGTCTCCTAGCCTTCCATGGCCAAGACAAACATAAGGAAGGTGGGAGCAGAGAGGAAAGCAGTGGGCTCTCACTGCCACAGAAGGGTTTCAGTTACTGTGCCCTATGGGGACAGCAGGACTGGAACCCTCCATGGAGATAGAGAAGGAGAAGAAAGTTAGGTTAAATCTGTTCAGGAGGCTCTGTGGGGGCAGAGGTGCAGGAGAGTATCCTTTGGTTGGAAGATTTCTGAGGTTTTGGGATGTGGATCAACTTGCTGTAGGAATTCACAGTAGCTGGGCTGCAAAGCCCACCTCCCCCACGGCCGTCCCCACTTACAGCACTGGGTGTGGTCTACCCCACCTCACCTTCCCTTCTCCGGTCTCTGTTCCAGCGGTGCTGCAACGGCTTCGGAAAATCTATCATTCATCCATCAAGCCCCTAGAGCAGTCTTACAAGTACAACGAGCTCCGGCAGCACGAGATCACAGGTACAGCCCCCGGGGACCCCACATGTGTCCACAGTCACGGGTGTACAGCCTCCGGGGACCCCCACGTGTGTCCGCGGTCATGGGTACAGCCCCCGGGGACCCCCACGTGTGTCCACGGTCATGGGTACAGCCCCCGGGGACCCCACGTGTGTCCACGGTCATGGGTGTACAGCCCCCGGGGACCCCACGTGTGTCCACGGTCATGGGTGTACAGCCCCCGGGGACCCCCACGTGTGTCCACGGTCATGGGTACAGCCCCTGGGTCCCCCCCATATGTGTCCTTCCATATGTGTCCATGAGGAGATAGGAAGGAACAGATATTCCCTTTCGTTGTGATCACACTGCCATCCAACGTTTCCTACTCATGGGCACCCCATGCACCGTAGAACAAGATACCGCCTAGCCCTGCAGTGTCCCCATGATCCATTGCGTATCAGAACTTGATGAAAACCCCATGAGGTTTTCAGCGGCTGCTTTTCAGAAGTAAATAACCAGGCCTCCTAGTCTGGACAAAGTGCCACAATTTACAAGGAGGTGTTTTGTTTTAATTTTTTGTGTGTGAATTGAGTGATAGTTTACATAGGAGATGGGAGAATATTGGCATAATACCATCGTTTATTGCAGTGATTACAAGCTCCTCCTTGTATCATCATTCAACAGTATTTGCTTCTATTCCTTCTGGTTTTTGTTTTTGTTTTTTTTGGATGTACACAAACTCACTCAGGAATATATAATTATTTAAGCAACCAAAGGGCACCTTCTGCACACAGCCTGCCTCCTGGCTACCTGCACACAGCCTTTCTCTTTCCATCTGTCTAGTGCCCTCTACAGATAGTGTTTTAAAAGACCTGTTTAAAGTGTTAAAAAGCAGAGATGTCATTTTGAGCACTAAGGTGCACCCAACCCAAATCTTGGTATTTTTCATTGTCTCATGTACATGCAAAAGCTGGACAGTGAATAAGGAATACCAAAGAAGAAATGGTGCCTTTGACTTACGGTGTTGGTGAAGAGCATTTAATATACCATGGACCTCTAGGAGAATGAACAAATCTTGGAAGAAATGCAGCAAGGATGTTGAGACTTTGTCTCTTATACTTCGGACTTGTCATCAAGAGGGATCAGTCCCTCCCCCACATCCCAAAAAAAAACAGCTAAAGAGGATAGAGAGAAACACTGTTAACTGATGATATATAGAGGGGATAATAATCAATGTAATGAAACAAGCTATATGAATGGTTGAATGTGAAGCTGATGATGTGCCCTGTAAACTTTCACTCAATGCAAAATAAAAACATTTAATAAAAAAAAAAAAAGTTAATTGGTTCAACAATTACAAGCCATTTTGGTAAAATCTAATAAAGTGAAACATATGCCTACCCTAAAAAAAAAAAAAAAAAGAGGGATCAGTCCCTGGAAAAACAGTATCTTGTTTGGTAAAGTAGATGGTCAGCAAAAAAGTGAAGCTCCTCAGAGGGATAGCTTGCCATGTCAGGGCCTCTGGGTGCTGCAGCATGGGGCAGGCTTGCTTCTGGGGTCCCCAGGGTTGCCGTGGGTTGGAACTGATTCAGAGGCACCTCACCACCACAGCAGCACTTCCTGTTTAGTTTAGTCCTGCTTCAAGAATTCAGATTTTTATTTCCAATACACTAACACTCAAGCAGAAGGGGTCCCCATTTGCTTCTGGCCCAGATCCCACCCCTTCTCCTTATCACGTTCCCATTCTGCTTCCCTTGGGTCTGTAGTCTTAAAAATTGGTTTTCAAAATAATAAAACAGATCAAAGAAAAAGTTCAATTGTGCAGAATAGCACAGATGGAAAAATTAAAATCTCTTTCATGATCTCCACCTTTTCTAATTCCTCCTCAAAGATACCCACTGTCATAGTTTTTTGGGAATACTTCCAGACATTTCCTTGGCATACATAGGTTTATAAAAGTAGATCACTTTGTATTTTAAAAATGAGGTCATGTTGTTCAAACTGGGTACGTTGGTTTTGCCTGGGTGCCACTGACTCATGTCTGATGTCTACTGACCTCATGTGACCGAATGGAAGTACCCTGTAGGTTGACCTAGTCTGTAATCAATATTGGAGCAAATAACCACGTCTTTCACCCTTGGAGCCACTGAGTGAGGTCACGACACCAGATTTTCAGTTAGCCGTCAAGCGCTTAGCCATTGTGCCACCAGGTCGCCTCAGGGTGTTGTGAAGTGCTGTCATATCGGTACCAACTCATAATGACCTTGTATAAAGCTTCCAAGAAGCAGCTGGTGGGTTTGAACCGCTGACTTGTGTGATTCAGCAGTCCTATGCTTATCCTACAGTGCCATACCAGGACTAAGGGTATTAGAAGGTATGTAGTACCCTCTTTTAGTGAAGAGGAACCTGTATATATGCCAGCAGTGCTCCCTGCTGTAAAGATCGAAAACAGTAGCACCCAGAAAAGGCTGCCTTATGCCCAGCTCAGAGAGCTTGAAGCACACGGTTTCCCTCAGCATCTGTAGTCTGTTTAAGAGCCTCTTTATGGACTCTGTTTGTTGATAAGCAGGATTTCTGCCTCCTCCCCTTCCTGCCCCTGAGATAGGTTTGACCCCAGAGAGCTGTGTGCATCTTGCTGTATTTACAGTGGTGGTGGTCTGCCATGGAGTCAGTTCTGACTCATAGTGACCCTATGTAGGGTTTCTGAGGCTGTAAATCTTTATAGGAGCAGAAATCCTCATCTTTCTCCCATGGAAAGGCTGGTAGTTTTGAACTGCTGACCTTGAGATTAGCAGCCTGACTTGTAACCACTATGCTACCAGAGCCCCTTGCGTTTGTAGTGGAAGGGTCAAAATGTGATCATTTTCCGGCAGCACACATGTGCTACTAGAAGACGAGACCATCTGTGTTGGAATAAGTACAACCAGAATGCTCCTTAGAAACCAAGCTAGCCAAAGTATGTCTTTCATACTTTGGACATAACAGTAGGGACCAGTCCCTCTCATACTTTGGACATAACAGTAGGGACAGCAGAAGGACATCATGCTTGGTAAAGTGAGGGACAGCGAAACGAGGGAGATCCCAGTGAGATGGATTAGCACAGTGGTAGTAAGAGTGGGCTCTAATGTAGTAGCAATTGTGAGGATGGCGCGGGACCAGGCAGTGTTTTGTTGTTGGACGTAGGGTTGCTATGGTGGGAACCGATTTGATGGCACCTAACAACAACACTCCAGTCTTGGTTTTCTCGGACTCGGCTTTGCCTTAAACCCAAACTTTATTGCTGTCAAATTAAGTCCAACTCCTAACTGACCCTACAGAACAGAGTAGAACTGCCCCGTCTGGTTTCCAAGGCTGTTAATCTGTACAGGAGCAGACTGCCTGGCCTTTGTCCTGAGGAGGGGCTGATGGGTTCAGTTAACCACCGAGTGCCTAACCACAACCAGGCTTCCTTACACTGGGAATGTGCCTCAAAAACTGCCAACTCAGTTTGTGTTCTTGGACACTGGTAAGCTTGTCATGGACTGTGGAAGTTGACATGTGAGCCCAGCTCTGGGCCCCAGGGTGGGGCAGAGTTTGAACCAGGGATGTCAGTGGTTACAGCTAAGGACTGAGTAAAGAGAGTTGGGGACTGGAGAGCGGGAATGAGAACTGTGGAGGCTGAGGCCAGGCAGGCCTGATGTCTACCCTGGTGGTTCAAAGTTCTGTCTGTTATCAATCAAGAGACCGAAATTCTCATCTCTCCATGTCTCCTTTAGACCTCAACCAGGACACCTCGCCCATAGTGAACTTTGAGTCATTGTTGAATTTACTCAGATCCTCCTCCCGGTGTAGATGTGCCAAGACTCTGTCTGTGCAAGGCCCACATCACACCATGCCTTCTGCTGTTGTTTAACTGAGAGAACACACTTACAGAGCAAGGACAGTGTCACTGGTTGCTTCATGCTGTCTGATCAGCGTGTTGTTGTTAGGTGCTGCCCTATTGGTTCCAGATCTCAGCAACAGAATGAAGCGCTGCCCAGTCCTGTATCACCCTCACCGTGGTTATGTTTGAGCCCATTGCTGCAGACACCATGTCAGTTCATCTCACTGGGGTTCGTCCTCATTTCCACTGTCTTTTTCCTGGGATGGTTCCTCCTGATCACGTGTCCAAAGTATAGGAGACAGAATCTCATACCCTCACTCCTAAGGAGCATTCTAACTGTACTCCTTTGAAGACAGGTTGGTTGGTTCTTCTGGCAGTCCATGGTGCTTTCAGCATTCTTAGCCAACTCCAAAATTCAAATGCATCAATTCTTCTTTGGTCTTCCTTATTCAGTGTTCAGCTTTTACGTGCATAGGAAGCAATTGAAAAATCCACTACAGGTAAAAAATAAGGCTGTCTTCTGTGAAGATCGACAGCCTCAAAACCCCTGTGTAAAGTCACTGTGAGTCACAGTGATCTCTAAGGCAGTGGGTTTGGGCTGTTTGTTTTCTGGTAATCCATGGTACTTTCAATATTCTTGTTGTTAAGTACTGTTGAGATGGTTCCAACTCAGTGACTCTGTATAGGTTTTCCAAGGAACGTATGGTAGATTTGAACTGCCAGCTTTGTAGTTAGCAGTCTAGTGTTTACCCCACAGTGCCACAGCATAATTCAAAACCATCAGTTCTCCAGTCTTCCTTGTTCGTTGTCTGGCTTTCACATGCATATGAGGCGATTGAAGATACCATGGCTTTGGGTCAGGAGCACCTTAGTCCTCTAAGTAACATCTTTAGCGCTTTAAAGAGGTCTTTTGCAGCAGGTTTGCTCAATGCAATGTCATTACATTTATTTAAATCCTGCCACTCAGATTCATAGCAGGGTGCTATGAATACATGAACCACTCCAGTAGGAAGAAGCCTTGTGGATTCACCCTCCTTTCTAACTCCTGTTCCCACAGACGGGGAGATCACATCTAAGCCCATGGTGCTGTTCTTGGGACCGTGGAGTGTCGGTAAATCAACCATGATAAACTACCTCCTGGGCTTGGAAGATACTCGCTACCAGCTCTACACAGGTAATAAATAGATATTACCTTGTGTGATTGTTGGTATTCAAATGACCTATGTAAAGTCCTATGAAAAATGAAAACATTTACATGAGCACTTCAGCAAAACCCTCCTGGAAACACTGGGGTGTGGGGACAGCCTTGAATTCCCAACTGATGCTTTCCCTTGTGTTTAGGTGCTGAGCCCACCACCTCGGAGTTCACGGTCCTCATGCATGGGCCCAAGCTGAAGACCATTGAGGGCATTGTCATGGCTGCTGACAGTACCCGCTCCTTCTCACCCCTGGAGAAGTTTGGTCAGAACTTTCTGGAGAAGCTGATTGGCATTGAAGTTCCCCATAAACTTTTAGAGCGGGTCACTTTTGTGGATACACCAGGCATCATTGAGAACCGCAAGCAGCAAGAAAGAGGTAATTGAGGCCAGCTCTGTGAACAGCTGGAGTTCTGCCTTAGGAGCCCATTGTCCACAGCAAGTGGTAGGCAGGGAGAGGAGCACGTTGGCCAGTGCTCACTCAGGAGATGCAGCCTCTGCTCCCACCTCCTCCTTGTCACTGTGCTGCCACATACCCTCCTCTTTCCCCAGGGATTGCTTTGGTGTGGAGACAATGTAGATAGATAGATGTTTATATAAAGGAAATGGCTTATATAAAGGAAGTGTCTTTATATAAAGGAAGTGTCTTCCAGGAAACAGCTCCTAAAGGTCCAAGCTGGAGCTGAATTGCCTTTGGGAAGTTGATGCATTCCTAAGTGATTAAAACCCAAAAGCCCACTGCCGTTGGGAGTCAGCTGTGACTCAGTTGTGTAGAACTCTACCCCCAGGGTTTCCGAGCGAGACTGTAAATCTTTATGGAATAAGGTGGCCTCATCTTTCTTCCATGAATCTACTGGGAGAAAGATGGTGGGTTCCAACAATCAACCTTTTGGTTGGCAGCTTAATGCTTAATCTACTGCATCACCAGAACACCTGTTGAGTGATCAAGGGCCTGGACTTACCCCAATACAGGCGTACCTGTCTCTAGGTAACTGGGGTCTGGGATTCTTCTCTTCCCAGTTCCTGCTTTACTAGACTGGCTTCAGCGTAAATCTCTGTCAGGTTTCACAGGTCTCCAGAAGGCAGGATTCCAGACTGTGACCTGGTGTGGTAGTGCACCAGGTGGCACCGTCACACAGGGCTGTCAGCAGAGATGAGTCCAGCAGGACCCTTGGAGAAATACACACAGATGGTAGATCCCATTTTATGGTTATAACTCCTACTTTATGGTTATAACCGGGGACCCCTGCTGGCACTGTGGTTTGTGTATTGGCAGTTCATACCCACTGGCTGCTTTTTGGGAGAAAGGTGAGGCTGCCTGTGTGTTCCTGTCAAGATTTCCAGACTCAGAAACCCTATCTAGGGATGCTGTAAGTCAGAATCAACTCAGTGGTAGAGGGTTTAGGTTTGTTTTGTTTTTTTGGCTATAATCAGACCATGTTTTGTTATTAGTAATAATATTATCACTAATAATTAGAATAGTAAATTAACATTTATTGTGCTCCCACTATGTACTGGATAATTTTATAGATTACTGAGTGATCATTGTAAAAAAAAACTTTCAAAGAGAGGTAGTCCTTTTTTCATTTTGAAAATAAGCAAACTTGAGGAACTAAGAAATGGAGAGAATTGAAATAGATCAGGCACGCCTAGGTGAGAGGTGCTGTGTGTATTGGGTTCTTTCCAGACTTACATCACCATTGTTGTCTTTATATCAACTTAGGCATTCTTGTCATCTTGTAGCTAAAGCTTAGAAATCTTTAGTGTGCAGCTGGCCAGTGGGAAAGCTCAATTCCAAGCCATGCTTTGCTGTCAGCTCCGTGTTTCCTTCCCTTCAATACTGCATTGTCTCTCACACATTCTTCCAATGTGAGACTTCTTTCCTTCAACTTCTTTGCCATTATCCCATTTTATTACTTTTTAGACAGCACGAAAAGCTGCATTTAGAAAATAACATTTCACGTCCCTGTAGACTTGGATTCCACTGCTGCTTAAAACAAACATCAGTCTGTTCTTGGTTGAAGGTTGACAAGGGATTGTTGTTGTCACGTGCTGTTGAGGAGGTTGCACCTCATAGCGATCCTATGTAGGGTTTCCAAGGCTTTAAGTCTTTTCAGGAGTAGAAAGCCTTTCTCTTGCAGAGCGGCAGGCGTGGGCTGGAACCATGGACCTTGTGGTTCACAGTCCAGTGCCTGTTGTATGGACCCCCACTGTGCCCCCTTCATATAGATAGATGTTTATATAAAGGAACTGGCTCATGCAGTTGTTGTTGTTGTTGTTGTGAAGTGCCATCGAGTCGGTTCCAACCCATAGCGACCCTGTGTAGGGGTTTCTGCGGAGCGGCTGGTGAGCTTGAACCGCCGACCTTGCAGTTCAAACTGACTGCAGTCCAGTGCATTAACCCACAGCGATACAGCAGGACTCCACTAGCAGTTTGTTTCCAAGTCTGTGGGTCAGATGTCAGGCTGGAGGCTTGTCCTGACTCGGGGTAGCCGCAGGAGCTGATGAACCCAGCATCATCAGGTCAGACACGAGATTGGTGGTGGTATGCTGGGGTTGGTTCTGATTCATAGTGATCCTCTCTAGGGTTTCCGAGGCTGTAAAGCTTCACAAGAGCAGAAAGTCTCATCTTTCCTCCGTGGAATGGCTGACTGGTAGTATTGAACTGCTAACCTTGAGGTTAGCAGCCCAACTTGTAACCACTATGCTACCAGAGCTCCTTGTAGTCAGAAGGTTGAAAGCAAATTCAACTAAGGTCATCAAGTAAGATGGCAGGCCGGGCAGCAAACCTAGCTCCCCAATTTAAGCACCTAGGGGCACCCCACTGTAAAAGCAAGCTTCCTGCTCGAAGTTACTCAGCTTTCCTTTTCCGTGGACTGGGAGGCCTCTGCTCTGGTTAATGTTCTGATTCTTGGCTCCATGGCTACTGCTCAGGTGTCAGCTTTCTGTCCCTGGGTTGAGGAGGTTCAGTGTGTGGGGGTCTTGGGGTCCAAAGGATACACTCCACTTCTGACTCTTCTTCTCGAATGGTGGTGAGATTCCCCTCTTCTGCTTCAGAGGTGGCTCATTTGAACCCAAGTAGAGTTTTCACAACTACTGTGAACTCTGTTACAGCACGGCCGAATCACATCATCCTGTCAGTGTCTGCTCCCACCATTTCTTACCCAGACTTAGCAGGAAAAGTGTTATTTGATGCACGTTACAAAGACAAGGCTAGAAAAACCATATTAAGTGATTCACTGCCTTGTAATATCCTTCATCACCCACTGACAAAATTCTGTCCCTTCACCATCACCAGTGAATGGGCTGAGGCTTTACTCAAAGGGTTATATTTGGTGTGTTTGGTATATTTTCCTGGGACAAAGGCCCCATATTCTTTTAAAAAATGTTTTATTGTGAATTATGTGATAGTTTACATGGGAGAACATTAGCTTTACATTCATCCTATTGTATATCATTTCATTGGCATGGTTACAATCCCCTCCATGCATCATCAACCATCCAAAGGATATACCCTGCAAGCCTGCCCCCTGGTTGTCAGCACACAGCCCCTTTCCCTCTCTGGGTCTAGAGTCCCCAGCCGCTCCATCTTTCCACGTCATCATCGCTACCTCCATCTCTGGCATCACTGTTTTTCTGGGTAGGGTCCCACACTCCATTCTTCTCCCTTGATGGTCCCAGGGACCTCCGTTCCTGGACTGCAAAGTCAACCACTCCCCTCCTTTTGCTACAAAACGTCTGCCTTTACATTTCCAACCCTCACAATCAGTCCTGATAACAATTACTAACTATTGTATCACAAGAGTCTTATCCCTATCTCCTTTCATCAGCCCCATCCAGACAGATTGGCTACTACTCAGTGGAGAATCTGCCTTCCTCCGCACCCTCTGGATCTAGGCTTCCTCTTGAAAGCTTGTAAGCCAGTCACTTCTTGCCTTTGTAGCCCCCCCCATTTTGGGTAGCCAATGTCTAAGTTGCCCATCTCTGTCTATTCTGTGTATGGACGGGGTAAGGCCCCATATTCTTGATATTGATTTGGACTTTTCTTTTACTCTAGTCTCACAGAGCTGTCCTTCCTCAGATCTGTTAATCCTGCTAAATTTTGAAGCCCTTCTTTATTTTCTCCTGAACTTCTTTAACCTTTCCCTTCCCACAGTGACCAGAATGTCAGTAATAGGATTTGTCTTTTTAATTCCTTAACTACTAAGTGTACTGTCAGCCATAATTCCTTGATACTTTATTATCAGCTTTGTTTCACATTCCCTGAATAGACATGACATATATATATATATATGTCTCTGTGTATGCATGCTTATATATGTGTGTGTATCTATATGTTGTTATTGAGTGTCATCAAGTTGGTTCCAACTCAAAGCGACACTGTGTAGGACTTCCAAGGAGCATCTATCTAATGGGTTTGAGCTGCAAACCTTTAAGTTAGCATGCTTGGCCAAAGTTAGAAGTTGTGTTCTACCTAACTTCCCCTCGACACTCCCCCGAGTCCCTGCAGTCTGACTTATGGCAACCCCATCGGAGTAGAACTGTGCTCCATGAGGTTTTTCAATGATAGAGTTTTCAGAAGCAGTCACCAGGCTTTTCTTCCAAGGCACATCTGGATGAACTCAAACCTCCAACCCATGGTAAGCAGCCCAGTGTGGCTATTAACCTTTTGCCCTAGTCAGGGACTCCAAAATCACCGTATGTGCTCATATTTAAGAACTGTTTGCTAAAGAACAATTGCTAAGTAATTGCTTTAAATGAAATTAAACTTTGAAAATGTAATTTCTAGTTTCCCTCCTTGAACAAAGAGTTGGTCTTTCTGTGATTATAATCTGTGACCACTGTTTGAAAATCATGTTTAATTATTTAATTATTCTTCTGCTAAGCCTTGGAAAATGGAAACAGGCACGCATAATTTAAGTGATTGAATGGGACCACATATATCTATCCCACCTGAATTTAGAGATCATCTGAAGAACATTAAAGACCAAAGACTAGAAGAGTTGTGGGATGACATCAAGAACATCATACATGAAGAAAGCAAAAAGTCATTAAGAAGACAAGAGAGAAGGAAAAGGTCAAAATGAATATCAGAAGAGACACTGAAACTTGTTCTCCAGAGTAGAGATGCTAAACCAAATGGAAGAAATGAGGTCCAAGAGCTGAACAGAAAATTTCAAAGATCAACTCGAGAAGATAAAGCCAAATATTACAACAAAATGTGCAAAGATCTGGAATCAGAAAACCAAAAAGGAAGAACACGCTCAGCATTACTCAAGCTGGGGGAACTCAAGAAAAAATTCAAGCCTCAACTTGCGTTATTGAAAGATTCTCTGGGAAAATTATTGATTGGTACAGAAAGCATCAAAAGAAGATGGAAGGAATACACAGAGTTATTGTGCCAAAAGGTAATGGTTAATGTTCAGCCGTTTCAAGAGGTAGCATATGATCAAGAGCCAG